TTGGCCCTGCAACCAGAACCAAATAAATGCACCCTGACCCAGAAACCAGTGCCAAAGAAACACACTTTGTTGCTAGAATCAGAGCCAGTGAAAGAAATACACCCTGGTCCTAAAGTTAGAGCCAAAAGGCTGAAAAGGTCCAGTGAAAGAAACACACTTTGGCCCTGAAACAAAAGCCAAATCTGACCCTAAACCTGTGCAGAAAACCAACCAATCCCTAAGCATGAGATCTAGCTAGTCTGAGTTCAAAGATTGAAATCTGACCAATCCTCACCCTGGAAATCTCCCTAGGAAAATTCTGCCCCCTAAGAATCCCTATATAAATTCTGTGTCAGTTCAGCTTGTGGCTGTTTGGCCTGCCTCTCCTGGATTCTTCCCTCCCAATAAATCTCTTGGATGAGGTTTAGGTGTACAATTCACATGTGCCCTCAACCATACGCATATAAGCATGACACACTGAAATATTCAAACATACACACATACACACACACACCATTTTTTTCCACAGCAAAAACTGTTAGCTGGGTTGTAAAGATGGGTTGGTGGCTAAGACATTCATTTGCTGTTCTTGCAGAGAAGCAGGGTTTGATTTTCAGTATCAGCATGGTAGCTCTCAACCATCTATCTGTCCCTCTAGTTAGAGCACCTGGCACCCTCCTCTTGCTTCCATAGGCACCAAGTCAGTTCAAGTTCTCATACATGCAAGTGAAACACACACACACACACACACACACAAATGGATGAATCTTAAGAAAGAGTGTTAAAATAAAGGGCTTGAGAAATCTGAACAGGAGACCTGGTCTAGGACCCCCATCTAAAAGGTGGGGCATGTTGGAAGTGGGTCCATGAACTCTGTCTATCTGTGTTGGGGCAAGTACCGTGGACTGTGAGGTGTGAAGAGGAAGTACACCTGTGTGTTGACTATTCCCAGAGTAACACTTACTGACATGGCTGGAAAGAAGAGATCTGCAGCTCTTTGCCATCTGGTGAAATCCTTCACAAACCCAGGGATGTTTACCAGTGCCACATTCAGCAGGAAACCAGGTTCCTGGAAACAGAAAGTGTTGTGGATGGGTGTGAGACCTAAGGACCAGAGATTAACAGGATGGGCACTGGCTCTGTTCTTGGAGGAAGTTTCCAACACAATTGCTTTTTCCCAATCTCAATTCTTCCCTTCCTTTTCCTGTCCTTCCCTGTACCTCATTTCCCGTCCCTGTCTTCCCCTATCCTTCCCTCCCCTTCTCTCCCCTCCCCTTCCTCTCCTGTCCTCCCCTACCTTCCCCTCCCCTCCTCTTCTCTGTCCTTCCCTTCCCATCCCCTTTCTTGGGGAATATTGTATGACTTTTCCTGGGAGAGAAAATAACAGATGTCTATTCATCCAAGACAGGACACCAACGACAGACCAAAGAAAAGATTCAGCCCCAGTGTAGTTTAGTGAATTTACTGGGATTATGTCATAGAACATGGGTCACTCAAAGGCAGCTGCATCTCCAAAGTACACCCTAGGTGTGGATGACTCAACCTACAGGCTGCTCTGCCAGCGACATACTTCCCTCTCTTCAGCAATGGCTATAACTGCCTTTATAACCTAAGGGAGGGGCTTTATGTATCTTAACTTTGCAACTCTCTGTGTAGCACCTGCACTACGAACTGTTCCACACATGGGGTGAAGGCCTAGAGATTGAAATAGAGATGAGACAGCGGGTCATTCATTCAATGGCCAAATTGAGGGGAAAGAACGGACTTAAATACTGACTTACAGCATAGTGGAAAAATTACTTGAATTTTAGGCTTAGCTCCTCCCTACGAGGTGTGTTATCAAAACGGGGAAGAGTACCAACAACAGCCTTGGGGCAAGGAGTTCCAGCCAGCAGCTTCAGGCTTGCTCATGGTGCCTCAGGGTCCTACATCTCTGAGCCCTCCCCACCCCCACCACACTCTGTGTGTGTGGCCCTGTGTGCATGTTGAGTCCAGCAGTCAACCTCAGGTGTTATTTCTCAGGAGCCATCTACCTTGTTTATTCCCTTTCTTTCTTTCCTCCCTCCCTCCCACTCTTCTTTCTTCCTTTAAAGATTTATTAACTTTAATTTCATATGCTTGAGTGTTTTGCCTGCTTGGATCTAAGCGCACCACATGCAGGCAGTGCCCATGGAGGCCAGAAGAGCGTGTCCGATCCTCTGGAACTAAAGTTACAGATGACTGAGCTGCTGTGTGGGTGCTAGGAATCCAAGTTCTGTCCTCTGCAATGGCACTAAGTGCTCTTAATTGCTGAACTGCCTCTCCAGCTCTTTACCCTGGTTGGTTTTTTGTTTTGAGACAGAATTTCTCAGTGGAGCCTGGGCCTTGCTGATGAGCCTGGCCTTCAAGCTCCTGTAGTCTGTCTCTGCCTCGCCAGCACTAAGATTACAAGTGCACACCGCCATGCCTGGCTTTTTATACACATGCTGCCACTCAGACTCAGGTCTTCAAGCTTGTACAAGCACCTAATGGACTGAGCTGTTTTCCCAGCTCTTGAGTTTCCTAGTTTCCTTGGCTACTTATAATCCTCCCTGCTTTCTCTAGGAGGGAATACTTCCATTCAGAGGAAACAGCGGTGTTACAGCGGTGGTGACAGTGGGTGAATCCAGGCCTCCCAAAGCTAGGCAAATGCTCTATCACCAGGCTGTATCCTCTGTTATCCCTTTTCATTTTTATTAAGATAGGGTCTCATTCCACCTCCCTGGTGGGCCTTCAACTTGTGATGCTCCTGCCTCACCTCTCAAACAGCAAGGATCACAAACTTGCGCCACCATGCTCAACTCCAACACCATTTCTAGAAATAATTCTTAAGCTTTTATGTACCCTTTATGTGAATCATGAAACTTCAGTCTCTTTTGCAAACACAAGAGTCTATCACATGGTTGACGAAAATATTTACTATCTTGGTCTATCATTTGGTTAGGGATTCCAGCCAGATTTCTGACTATCATCCAGTGAAAGCAGGTGGGTAAAAAGATTTGATTTTTTTTTATTCTCTTGTAAATCAGTCTTTCCTCAGTTCTTCCCTCCCTCCCCATCATCCTCTCTACCTTTCTCAGGGTCTCATGCAGTCCAGGTTGGCCTCTGTTGTAGTTACTGTTCTATTGGGAAGAGACCATGACCAAGACAACTCTAAAAAAGAAAGTGCCTTAGTCAGGGCTACGAGTGCTGTGATGAAACACCATGACCAAAAGTAATTCAGGAAGGAAAGGGTTTATTCAGCTTGCACTTCTGTATCACTGTTTATCACTGAAGGAAGTCAGGGCAGGAGCCTGGAGGCAGGAGCTGGTGCAGGGGCCATGGAGGGAGCTGCTTATGGGTTTGCTCTCTATGGCTTGCTCAGCCTGCCCTATTATAGAACACAGATCCACCATGAGCTGGGTATCCCCCCATGAATCACTAATTATGAAAATGGAACATTTTCTCGATTAAGATTCTTTCCTCTGATGACTCTAGCTTGTGTCGAGTTGAAAGTGTTTAACTGAGGTCTTACAGTTTCAGAGGATTCATGCATGCTCATCATGGTGGCAGGCCGGCAGGCATGATACTGGGACAGCATCTGAAAGTGTTACTATTGAAGCCTCAAAGCCCACCCCCAGTGACACATCTCCTCTAACAAGGCCACTCCTCCTAATCCTTCTCAGATAGAGCTACCAACTGGAGACCAAACATGCAGCTATATGAGCCTAGGGGCCATTCTCATCCAAGCCACCACAGTGTCAAACTCAGTATTGTAGCCTACGATGACTCTGGGTGATATGATTCACTTGTCCCCATTCCCCGAGTACTGGCATTGCAGGTATGTACTATCCACCACACCTGGTTTATGCAATCCTTGGATCAAACACAGAGCTTCATGCATCCTAGGCAGGCATTCTACCAGTTGAGCCATAACCTAAGCTCTTGTTTTCCTGTTTTTTTAAATTTCAAAAGCATTGGTGAACAGATTGCACACAGGATGGAAATGGTTGTAGAAATTTTAATGTTGGGTAAGATAGGGTCCAAGACTAGTGTTCTTAAGTCTGAAGCATAAGGTTATTTTACCCTGATTAAAGCCACACTGCAGCTGGCGATGTAATCACTGTGCATGGTTTTTATTTCAGTACAGCGTTTGGGATGTTTGGAAGGCCAGTGAGCCTTTCTAGGGGTAATGCCTTCTTGGAAAGAGTTGCTTAGAGACTGAGTAGCCAACAGGATAGAAACTTCTGGAGAAGTGGAGAAGACAAATACCACAGGAGTCCAAAAGGGTGTCTCTATGCCTCCTGCTCCAGGTCAATGCTGGCAAGCCCTTCTGTCTACACAATTTCTGACAAGTGCCCTGGAGCCAAAGAGCCAGCATGGCTGCCCTCTGGTGGACAGTGATGGACATGAAGGCGCCTGCTCTTTGTGGTCACATAGCAGGGACATTTTAGGTTTTCCTGGTGACTTTTGCACCCTGGTTGGAACATGAATAGCTGATGAGGCTGAATGAGGAGGACCCTGGGAATCAGCTCAGGTCCACCTGTTCACTTCTATCTCCTGGGGGCCTTGGACACTGCAATAGAACATAAGATGGAATTCCCTGGCTTTGCCCCTGCTGACTTGATCACATCCTTTACCCCAGAATCTTAGCTCAGTTCAAGTGCTGTGGGATGTGATCAGAACAGCTTCTGGGGAGCCTGGGGTGCATCCTGTGGTTGGTGCAGTGCCAGGCACACTATGCTCTGATCCCGCATCAACGAAGATGAGGGCTGCTGATGCTGAGATTCCTGGACCGGACCGATCAGGAGGGGGAAGGCCAGAGAACTCCAGAGCATGCAGCATGTGCGGAGGCCTGGGTCTCTGTGCCAGGAACAGTAGAGGTGTTATGCCTCTCTCAAGGCTGCAGGGTAGGTGTGGAGGGTGAGCCCCACCCAGGGTGAGCCCAGAAACCACACAAGAGCTGCAGTCACCTTCCTCCTTCCTGGAGTGTCTGGAAGCCTCTGGCCTCCAGCAAGTGTATCATGGAGCTGGCCCGGCCTGCAATCTTCGTTATCTTCTTTCCTGGAGCCATTCTGGGGAGCGAGAACCTCATAACCAATTCCTACAGCCTGTCTTCTACAATAGACAGTGGTAGCACTAACCTGGGATCAGGTAAGATGGGTGGGTGGGGAACAGTAGCTTCAGGAAGACACATGGAATGTACATTTTGTTGCCAGGTGTTTTTTTGTTTGTTTGCTTGTTTTTATTTTATTTTTTAGTTTTATCTGTTTCTTTTAGCTTTGAGACCAGGTCTCACTGTAGCCCAGACTGGCTTCTACTTTATTATGTAGATGAAATTAGCCTTCTGATTTTGATCCTCCTGCCTCAGCACTCAAGTCCTGGAAATACAGGAAGGAGCCAGTAGGGGCATAGGTTTAGAGACAGAGCAGAAAACTATCTGACCCTGGCTCCTCGTGATCTTATATGAGGCAGATGCTGTTAGGGGCCTGGCATGGGGGACATCCTCTGGCCCATACTGGTCAAGTCCCAGGGGCTGTGACAAGTAAGCCAGGTTTGAGGTACACAGGAGGGCAAAGTAGCCCTGTGTCACTCAATTTTACTGATTCTTTGCAGTGTGCGGACGTCCCAGGGCTTCAGGCCGCATCGTGTTGGGACAGGATGCCCAGCCAGGCCAGTGGCCTTGGCAGGTCAGCGTGAGGGAGAATGGAGAGCACGTGTGTGGAGGCTCCCTGATTGCTGAGGACTGGGTGTTGACTGCTGCCCACTGCTTCAGCCAGTGAGTGTCTTCCTAAGGGTCATGTGGGTTGGTGCCGGCTGGACTTCCCTACATTCCTTCCAGATGCTCTCATTTCTTCATCTAGACCATAACCTCTGTCTGCTATGACAGGCCATAAGGCAGGGCCATGCTTCTTTTGTATTGAAATTACCTGTCTCTAGGCTGGCTCTGTCACCTGTCTTGGGTGGAGAGGATGGCTCAGAGGGTAGGAGGACTTGTTATACAAGCAAGAGGACCTGAGTTCAAATTGCCTGCCCCAACTCTTGTAAAAAGCCAGGTGTGACCAGTACTGGGGGTGTATGTGGAGACAGGAGGATCTCAGGGGATTGCTGAGCTCCAGTGTAGCTCTAGGTTCTGTGAGAAACATGATCTGAAGGTCAAGAATAGCAGAGATAGAACAGAGCATCTGATATCATTCTCTGCTTTCTGTACATGCACAGGAGTGTGCACACACACCAACACACACACACACACCGACACACACACACCGACACACACACACCGACACACACACACACCGACACACACACACACACACCAACACACAGACACACACCAACACACAGACACACATACCAACACACAGACACACACCAAAACAAGACACACACACACCAACACAAGACATACACACACACACACACACACACACACCAACACAGAATCAACAGCTCCTGAAAACAGCCTTCAAGAACCCAAGGTCTTTGTGTAAGTATATGTGCATATGTGAAGTATTTCTTCATGTGTGCATGCGAATGTGGGCAGACATGTCACAATGAGTATTTGAAGGTCAAAGGGCAACCTCAGGTCAGTCCTTGCCTTTCACCTTGCTTTTTGAGGCAGGGTCTCTCTTTTTGTCCACTGCTGTGTACACCTAGTCAGCAAGCTTTTATTAATGCCCCTGTCTTCACCTCCCACCTCTCCACAGGGGCAAGCTGGGATTGAGATGTGAATACTACTGGGCCTGACTTTTATATGGGTTGTGGGGATCCAAACTCAAGTCTTTATGTTTGTATCATCTTCCTAGCACTTCAAGAATCCAAAGTTTTGGATATACTGCTCAATGGCCAGATGGCCTTTTAATGGGTAACTTGACTTTGCATGGAGGAAATGGCAGTAAACTTATGGGTAATCATGACCATTAATGGTGGCTATTAAAAGGGTGTGTTTGGCATAGCTTCTGTGTGCTTAGCTCTCAGAAAAGCCCAGTGGCAATATTGGAAGCCTCCACATAAAGATTGTCTTTCATTTTCACCCATTGTCCTTCCCATTCTCCCCAGGGACCAGCCCCTGTCTGCCTACACAGTACTGCTGGGTACCATCTCCTCCTACCCTGAGCCCAGTGAGCCCAGTGAGCTGAGAACTGTGGCCCAGTTTCTCAAGCACCCAAGCTATTCAGCAAATGAGCACAGTAGTGGAGACATTGCCCTGGTGCAGATGGCTTCATCCATCTCCTTCGGTGACTACATCCTTCCAGTCTGCCTCCCGAAACCTGGAGACCCCTTGCTCCCTGACACCCAGTGTTGGGTCACTGGCTGGGGACACATAGCCACAAATCAACGTAAGAATGTTTGGAGCTGGTGTTAGGGCAGGGGGAGAGTGGAAATGTGTGTTCAGCAAGGGCCAGTCTTGACACCTTCCCTAGGGCCAGCCCCCACCCTCAGACACAACCCATATGGAGTCTATGCAAAGAATGTCTACCACAGAGGGTGCATTAAAATACTGCCACACTAGTTCATCACCAGGTGACTGTTGCCAAACCCCAGAAGGATAGTGTTACAGCCAGCAATAGGCTGAGGGATGCTGATCCAGCTTGCATTACAACCTTCTTGCTGCCTTTGCTGTCAAGGCCCTTGTGGACAGTGCTTGCCAGGGGCTCGGTTTTGACTGGGCAGTCTTCACTATCTGATGGGGTCCTGGTTCTTCCTCTTGTCAATGAGCTCTCCAGAGTGCTAACCTGGTGGGGTTAATGCCAGAGGTCCACAGCAAGGTGCTTTCTCAGGCAGTTTCCAACTGTCATCAGCATGGTCCTCATCCCTGTCATCATATTTGTGACCTTGTCTTGTCCTGAGGCTGATGATAAATCAGATAGGTGTTCACTCTCAGTTCAGGAGCCCAGAAGCCTGAAATGAAGGTATTGTCTGGGCCTTAGCCCTTTCAGGGTTCTAGCGAGGCCCCTCTTTGGCTGTCACCCCTGTCAGCACTGGGTGGTTCTTGGCTCTTAGCTGCATCACTCCAGTCTTGGCCTTGGAGTTCACATAGACTGCCACTGCCATGTGTCTGCCCAGGTCCTCTCTCTCTGTGTCTGTTACAAGCCTCTCATCTTGATCAACTGTGGTACCATCTTAGCCAGTCACATCTGCAAGTCTCCTGCTTGATGACAAAGTTACATTCTGAAGTTTTTGGGTAGATATGAATTTGGGGCCACATTAATTAACCCAATCGGCACCTAAGTCACCTTTGACTTGATGATATTCGGAGTGTTGAGCCGAGTAGGGTCATGTGATGGGTGTGACCTGACCACAGGCCAGTGTTCTGAAGTCAGCTATAGGCCCTTGCTTATTGTCCTGTGCCTTCTCCCTGCGTGCATCCCATTCTGTTGTCCTGACACTGGAAGAGAAGCTGAGACCCACAGAGCCATCATATGTCTGTGTGTGCCCAGCTCTGGGAGGAAGAGCAAAGATCTCCCCAGTTTGTGATTCTGAGGACAAATCTATGTCCTCATTCTGGGATGCCACCTCTGCAAAGCTTTCAGGGTTTCATTGGGGGAAACAAGGCCCTGAAGAAGCAGAAGCCACAGGGTTCATTTAAACATGCTGAGCTGGGGGAGATGAAGTGTCCCCTTCCCCTAACTCTGCTCTCTCCCAACTCTAGCTCTCCCACCACCTTTTGCCCTGAAGGAGTTGCAGGTGCCTCTTATTGATGCTCAAACCTGCAATGCCTACTACCAGGAGAACTCTGTTTCCAGCATGGAGCCCGTCATCTTTGAAGACATGCTGTGTGCTGGCTTCGAGGAAGGCAAAAAGGATGCCTGTAATGTGAGTGAGTCACGTCCAGGCAGTGCCACCTCACCAGTAACCCCAGTGGGCAGGGTGTTCCTCTCCCCATCACACTAAGAACCTTCCAGAAGGGCTGGGCATCTTAAAAACAACAGTACCAGGACCATCACCAACACACACACAAATACGAATGCACACATGACAGAGAGAGAGAGAGAGGGAGAGAGAGAGAGAGAGAGAGCTCAAGAAGAAATCTTAGATGCTGTCTCCCTTTCAAATATCATATAATATAAACAAAGGGCTGGGAAGGTGGTCCACTGCTGCATCACAAGCACAAAGAACTGAATTTGAATCCTCAGCACCCATGTATTAAAAGAAAAATAAAAAGCCAGGTGTGATAGCACAAGTCTATAATCCCATCACCGGGGGCGGGGTCCAGGGTCAGAGATAGGCAGGTTCCAGGAGCTCACTGGCCAGCCAGTCTAAGCAAAATGCATGTTCCTAAGTTCAGTCAGAGACCTTGTCTTAAAAAGTAAGGTGGAGAGTGATGAAGGGCATCCAGTGTTGACCTCTGGTCTCTAAGGGCACACACAGGAAGGAATGCACCCCTCCCCCCACGTGCCTCACCTTCTGTCAAATAAAATAAAATAAATACCATCAGAATGCTGGGGGGTGGGGTAGAATGTTTACCAAACTTTGAAAGGCCTTGGACTCCACCCTCAGTAGAGAAATGGAGGAAGGGGTGGAGAGAGAGAGAGAGAAGAGGAAAGAGGAGAGACAGAGAGAGATAAAGAGAGAGAGAGATTTGATAACAATAAAAGCCTTTGACTGTATTTTCACGAGGAACAAGCCACATTCAAGTTTGCTTGGTTTTATCTTGTGTCGTTTGTTCTTCTACACACCCTGACTGCCAAATACCTCTTAATTGTTTCTTCAAAGAGATGTTCTAGATCAAACCAAACAAACCGAGCAAGCAGCACCATCAGAAGCCCTGACATGGCCCCTGCTCTCAGCTCTGAACATACAGCTGTGGCACATAGTTCATATTTTATTTAGAGAAAGGCTGTGTCTGCTAGGGATTCCACTCTCCTTCAGTTCTCAGATCACCCATCCCTGAGCCCTTCTAGAAACTTCCAATTCATTGATCCTATATACTGTATTGAAGAGTCAGGTGGACTGGGTTGGAGAGCTTCAATTTCCTACCAGTATAATAAAGACAACAGGCTCAAGCACCCCTAACACCTTTGGATCCCTTCTTTCTCTGCAGGGTGACTCCGGAGGTCCCCTGGTCTGTGACATTAATAGTGTCTGGATCCAGGCAGGGGTGGTGAGCTGGGGATCCGACTGTGCTCTGTCCAAGAGACCAGGTGTGTACACCAATGTCAGCGTCTACACCTCATGGATTGAGAACACAATGTGGAACTCAGCCCTAGAAGTAAAGAGTTTCTCTCCAAGCCTTGCAGGGACCTCAGTCTCTGACCTGTTCCTGGCATCCCTGGCTAGCTGCTTCCTCTTCCTGGGACCCTAACCTGCAATCTCATTATCCCAGCCCCTATATTTGGAACTTCTGCCCTCTCTCTGCTCCTAGTCTAGAGGTTCTTCTTTCAGGACCCCCTTCTAGTGTCCTCCTTGCATAGCTACCTGCAGACAAGCACCCCATCTGTGCTCTGCATTCTAGGGACCCTCTCCTCACCCCCACAGAAACCTCCTAACTTCCACATCATTAAGACCCTTGAGACCATCAGTTAAGCTCTGGTTTTCTGGCCCCCTTTGGCCCCGAGCTGCCTCTCACTCCCTGGAGCGGGGTGTCTGTGGATTTTCAGGAGTAGAGGCACAGGAATCTTTCTTGCCTCTCACTCCAGGGTGGAGCACAGAGTACAGCCACCTTTCAGGGTATCCTTTGGTGGCTTCTGTGACTGGGCTGGTCACTCTATAGTGAGGCCATATCTGAAGCAATAAAGACTGGACGCAGCAGGACACATTTTCCCAGCGTGTGGTTCCTCCTATGCTCATGAGCTTCTGTTTCCGTAGGCACCCAGAGGATGCCCCTACATGCCTACATGTACAAACCCCTTCCACATAGTGTCATCAAATTCTTGGCATTCCTGTGTGCACATTGTCCTTAGCCCCATCACTCAGAAGCAGGACAAATAAGGGTTGGAAACTCAAGCTTCTCTAGTTCCTTGGTTCAGCATCCTTGCCTCTAGGAATGGCAGAGCAGCACTTCCTGAAGAGTTTGAGACCATTGGTAAGATTGGGATAACATCAGAGTCATAAGTTAGGCATGGGATGACTTCCAGAGTCATAGGTAGGTATCAGGTAAACCCTAGAGGTCATTGGTAGAATTTCAGTGAATCTCTGCATTACTGGCAGGTGTAAGACCCAATCTCCAGGCTATGGGCAGGGATGGTGATGGGTCAGGCTGGCTGTCAGCTCCAGAGGCATTCACAGGACCCCTGGGCCTAGTGACAGCCTACCTACAAGGATTGCAGTGTTGATGGAGATGGGGTGGGGCTGGCTAGTCCCAAAGGCACAGCCAGCCCCAGTGAGGTAAGTGGCTCATGTCTGTTTCCAGATTAATTATCTATTCAGTCAGCTGTCACTATGACCATGGCATGGTTCCCACGTTCCTGAGTCTCTTCTACCTGTCACATATGAGGTGCTCTCCCCAAACTCTGTGCTTACTGGCTGGGGTACACCAGGGAGGAGTGTGGCCCACTCTCTTCTCATGTGAAACTTTCTCATGCAGTGCTCAGCTGGGACATGACTACCCACTGTCACTGTCCAGTTTCTCAGGAGCCCAGTAGGATGGCAGCCTAATGAAACAGAGTAAGGGGTGAAGGGAAGAAAGTGCTAATCCCCTCAGAAGGACCTGGGGTTGGCTAAGGCTGTTCTGATCATTGCAGATTCTGTCTCAGGCTTCCAAAGAACTCACACTCTCTGTGGGCAGCTGAAGGAGTTCAGGCAGGGCCACTCTGAGGCAGGTTAGCTCATTTGATCTGATCCCTTAGCCAAAGCCCCTTGGTCCTAGGGACTCTGATAGCCTGTATCTTTCCTCTTCCATATTCCCAGTTCTTTCCTCCACCATCAATCCTTCAACTCAGCAGATATTCATTCTGCAAGTACATTCCACATGGCACTCACCAGGGGAGATCTTCCTTGCTCTTCAGTTCAGGGAAGTAGGGTAGATGGTTTATAAGGGTCTCTAGGATTCATTTTTGTTAAGATTAGGGTAAGTTGTCCTCAGACCTACACACACGCACACAAGCACACACAGACACACTAAACAAAAATGCTTTGGCAGCCTGAATAGCCAGGTTGGGACCTGTGGCCTGAGCAACCCCTTGGGCTGCAGTCAGGATTGTCACCCATTCTCCCAAGGGAATAGCTGGCACTGTGCCTGGGTGGTGAGCTATGCTTTATTGTGCTATCAGGGGCCACAAAGAGACTGGTTGAGATGCTAATGCTAGGGTGTTAATGGACAAAAAATTTCTTGGGAAAGTTCTGATCTTTTCCTACCCAATGGATGGTCCCCTAACCTGTTGCCTTGGGACCCATTCTGCCCTTGAGTGTCTTGGCCAGTTCCTATGCCCACTGGCCCTTTCTTGGTAGTAGGGACTGAACACAAGCATGTGAGGTTAAAGAGATCATGGCTGTTGTTGCCACATCAGTATCTCTTGGGGGGTCACTATTTGGGAATGCTACCTAAAATGCCTCTTGGTAGGATCCCTGGCTGATTGCTCCTGCCTTGCCACCAGGCTTAAGGCTCAGGACTCCCAGGAAGTAGATACCCTTGACAGTGGAAATGCATCCACTGGAGGGAGCCCCCTGAAAGCAGTGCTGGAGAATTCACCACTCTCCCATCCCCACTATCTCCTGGAGGAGGCGGGGCTCAAGATACATACAGGACCCTAAACAGGGACAGACCCAGTGACCATTAATCCTTTCTATTTATTTCTTGAGACTCTATCATGTAGCTCTGGATGTTCTGGAACTTACTATGTAGAACCAGGGTAGTCTTGAACTCGCAGAGATCCACTTGCCTCTGTTGGGATTAAAAGTGTGTGCCATCACACCCTGTCAATGATGGTTAATCTCAACATTTACCTTGGCAGCCTTGAGAACCATCTAGATTATAGATAGTAAATATTTTTCTGGATGTGTCTTTGAGGGTGTCTTCAGAGATAATTTGATCTCCAGGGTTTTGACTTAAGGAATGAAGCAATTCCTTGGTAGATTTATAACCTGATGGCACTATTAGGAGATGGTAAAATAGATGTGATGATTTGAGTGAGAATAGCCTTTATAGGCTTATATATTTGAGCACTTGGGACTTGCCCCCTCCCCCTTGTTTCGTTCCCACCATTCACCTCCATCTCCATCTCCATCTCCAGGGGATCTAATGCTTCCAGACTCTAAGGGTAGGTACACACATACCCCAGCCTCCTTGCCCCTATATACATCATTTTGCAAAATCTTTTTTGGAGACTGGAGAGTCTCCAGTAGCTAAGAGTACCTGCTCTTGCAGAAGAACTGGGTTCATATCCCAGTAACCACATGGCAGTTCACAGCTACTTGCAATGCCAGTTCTGGGGATCTGATGCCCCCTTCCGGTCTCCACTAGTTCCATCTATACATGTGTTGGATTTATATGCACGCAGGCAAAACATCCACACAAAATTCAATTTAAAATCTTTTTATTCTCACTCACCAGAAGGCCCGGAGCTGGTGTTTCAGGGAGTTATGAGCTCTCTAGCATGAGTTCTGGGAGCTGGATTTAGGTCTTCTGGAAGAGAATATGTGCTATTAACCACTGAACTATCTCCCAGTGGAGGAGAGGGAAGAAGAGCTGTAAGCAGAGCAAGATGGAAAGATGACATCACACATTTTCATTCATGTGGACTCTTCATTTGAATACTCTACTCTTTTTTAAATTAAAGATGTGTATGTAGGGGCTGGGGAGATGGCTCAGTGGTTAAGAGCACTGGCTGCTCTTCCAGAGGATCAAAGTTCAATTCCCAGCACACACATGGCAGTTCACAACCGTCTGTAACTCCAGTTCCAGGGGATCTGACATCCTCACACCAGTGCACATAAAATAAAGTTAAATAAATTATTAAAAACAAATAAATATTTAACAAAAAAATGTGTGTGTAAGAGCCTTTTGCCTTAGCAAGGTGTGATAGTGCATGTCTTCAATCCCAGCACTCAAGAGGCAGAGGCAGGCAGATCTCTATGAGTTCAAGGCCAGGCTGGTGTACGAGCAAGTTCCAGGACAGCCGGGACTACACAGAGAAATCCTGACTCAAAAAAACAAAACAAAAAGTCTTTGCATGTATGTGGGTATATATGTATGTATGTGCACCACATGGATCAGAGATCAGATCTCCTGGATTTAGCTATGTTTGTGAGCTTCCAAGCTGTGGCAAAAGCAGCAAATACTCTCACCTGCCAAGCCTTCTCTGCCCCCCCCCCCCACTTCTTTGGGGAATGTTATTTGGAAGGAGAGCAGTGGCAAGGGGACAGGAGAGAAAAATGAGGGTAAATATGAACCAAGAATAATGACACGCACAGGATAGAAATGTCCACACAACCCCTTGTCTTGCATATTAGTGAATTCCCAGCAGCAAGACACTGGATCAACAGAGGCATCTGCCAATGGACAAATGGATAAAGAAAAATGTGGTGCCGATTATTCAGCCAGAAATAGAACAAGGCCCTGCAGTTTACAGCAATAAGGATGAGACTACAGGACACTGTGTAAGTGCATTAAATCAGAAACAGAAAAAATACAAGAGCTCCGCTAGGAAGTCCCAGCACTTGGGAGGCAGGGACAAGAGGATCTCTGTGAGACTGAGGCAAGCCTGGTCTACAGAGCTAGTTCCAGAACTACAGGACTACACAGAGAAACCCTGTCTCAAAAAACAAAAACCAACTAAACAAACAAAAAATCCTAAGGGCTGCACATGTAGCTCACTATTAAATGCCTTCCCTAGTGTGTGCAAAGTCCTGAGGTCCATCCTATTGCAATAAAACAAACCCACCTTACAAATCCTAAACAAAAATGAAACACCATAAAAAGTTGATCTCAAAGTACAGAAGAAAATAGTGGCAGTAGGTGTGGAGAGAAGGGTGAATGATAGGGGACTGGGGTAGAAAGAGTAATTTCTGAAGTGCCATAACATGGTGAGGAAATTATGGGTGACGGCAATTATTTAAGAATAGTGAAGAACATTTTCAATATTTCCAACACAAATAAATGATGAATTTTGATGGTGTAGATTTGCCATTTATCCTAATCTGATGTTGCACATTTTGTATATGTATTGAAATATCATACTAGCTAGGCATGGTACTACATGCTTTTAATCCCACAGTCAGGTGGCAAGGCAGGCAGATCTCTGTGAGTTCCAGATCACATCACAAGTTCCAGGATACAGAAAGACCCTTTCTCAACACACACACACACACACACACACCAAAATAAAAAATGAATGAGAGAGAAATACAACACTGCACTCCATAAATATGCATAATTATGCAAATTAAAAACAGGGCATTGAGGCTTGGAGAGATGGCTTAGCAGTTAAGAGCCCTTGCCGCTCTGGCAGAGCACCTAGATTTGGCTCCCAGCACCCACATGCTAGTTCACAACCATTTGTAAGTCCAGTTTCAGGGATTCCAATGCCCTCTTCTGACTTCCACAGGCACCAGACATGCACATGGTATACATACATACATGAAGGTGAAACACTCACACACATAATACATTTTAAAAGAGGGTGGTGATGGTGTGGAAGAGATGACTAAATGGGTAGGAGCACTTGTTTGTTCTTCTAGAGCACCCAATTCACATCTGGCTCATAGCTCCTGGAACTCCAGCTCCAGGGGATCTGACACCTAGTTCTTGCCTCCCTGATACTACACATGAGTGGTACACACACAGAGACACTCACAATTGTTTTTAAAGAATCATTTATTTTTATGTGCATTGATGTTTTATCTGCATGTATGTCTGTGTAAAGATACCAGATCCCCTAGAACTGGAGTTACAGACAGCTGTGAGCTGCCACATGGGTGCTAGGAATTGAACTTTGTTCCTCTGGAAAAGCAGACGGTGCTCTTAAGCATTCTCTTCAGCCCCACAAACTTTGTGTGTGTGTGTGTGTGTGTGTGTGTGTGTGTGTAGTCCTAGGTGGCTGGAACTCACTCTGTAGGCCAGGATGGCCTCAGACTCACAGAGAGCCACCTGTCTCTGCTTTCCAAGTGCTGGGATTAAAGGCGTGCATCACCATTCCCCACCAAACAATTTTTTTTAAAGAAAAGAAAAAATAAGCCAGACATGGTAGTGCATGCCTTTAATCCCAGCCCTCAGAAGGCAGAGGCAGGAAGATCTCAGTGAGTTCAAGGTCAGCCTGGTCTATCTGTAGATAGACCTATCTCTGGATAGTTTCAGGATAACCAAAGCTACATAGTGAGACTCTGTCTCAACAAACAAACAACAAAACAAAAACCACAAAACCAAAAAGATTTAAAAAGAGTGAGAAATTAAATATTTAATTAAAATCTCTCTCTCTCTCTCTTTCTTTCTCTCTCTCTGTCTCTCTCTCTCTCTGGGAAGGGGTTGCACAGGATTTCTTTGTATAACAGTTCTAACTGTCCTGGAACTCACTGTGTGGACCAGGCTGGTCTAAAACTCACTGAGAATCTGCCTGGGACTAAAGGCATGTACCACCACTGCCCAGCTAAAATATCTCTTTCTATATTTTTAAATCTTTTGATAGCTTTGTGTGGGGGAGGAGGGAGGGAGGGAGCAAGGGAAGAAGGGAGAGAGAGAGAGATTCTAGGAAGCTCTGGGGCAACGGCCAGAGGATCATAAATTTGAGATCAGTGTGGGATACAAAATGAATCATTGTCTCAGAAAGAAAAGCAAGCAACAACAAAACCAAAACCAAAACCAAAAAAAAAAAAAAAAAAAAAAAAAAAAAAAAAGAAAAGAAAAGAAAAGAAAAGTAAATACATTTAAAAAAAAGATTCCACAAGGAGGAAAGCTAAGGCTATTATTAAAGATGAGCTTGCCATCAGGGGGCAGCCTACGCCGGCGGGGCCCACCCCATTGTCTTAAGGGAGAAAGTCCAGGCCCTTCCTGTGATGGACTAATTCTTGGCTGACCCCATGAGGGATAGGCCTCAGAAATGCTCGTGGGGTTTCCTGGGGCCTCTGCTAAAGGTCAGCAGCTTGGTCCTAGAGGAAGTCCTGGGCAGAGAACAGCCGGCAGCAGGGGAGGCAGCCGGCACCCCTGAGCTCAGATGGGAGAAGGGCTGCTCCGGCTCACTGGTTGAGCCACATCAAAGCTTTAATGGATGTCCTGGAAGACAGTGCTAGGACATCATGGTCCCCAAACAACCTTTGGTCCTCAGGAGTTGCGTCTCCCCCAGTGGGCACGGGCCTGGCACAGCAGGAAGTAAGAGGGGGTGCCAGGTGGCGGGAGTCGTGGCCATGGGCGCGCGGGGCAAGCCGTTGGTGCCATTGCTGGTGGTGGCGGTGGCGGTGGCCTCACAGCCAACCCATTTGCAGGTGTTACCAGAGAATCCCGGTGAGCTGTTCTGGGGTTACTGTTGTGGGACTGGGCAGGTGACAGGTAGATGGGGAGATGAAGGTGAAGTGTCGCTCATTCTCTCATTTCCACCCAGTATTGCAGGAAGCAGACCTACTGTCAGGTAAGATGTTCAGAACATGGTTCCTGCGTGGTGGGCCTCAACTGTTCCTCTCCTTCGCCCCAGGATGCAGGACTCAACTGTGTTTGATTATAATGGCACCCTGGGGGTAGTGGGTAGGGGCAGATGCACACAAATCATGTGGGGAACGTCCCAGCGAATCCTTAGGAAGTCCCTCCCTCCCCATGCCCTACGGCTACAAAGTGTGCAGTGTGTGTGTGTGTGTGTGTGTGTGTGTGTGTGCGCGCGCGCGCGCGCGCGCGCGCACCTTCTCAGTATGATGCATGTGCTCAGTCTGATGCTCCTCACAGGACCCTGCGGTCACAGGACCATCCCTTCACGTGTAGTGGGTGGAGATGATGCGGAGCTTGGCCGCTGGCCATGGCAAGGAAGCCTGCGTGTATGGGGCACCCACTTATGTGGAGCGACCTTACTCAACCGTCGCTGGGTGCTTACAGCTGCCCATTGCTTCCAAAAGTGAGTGTGGGATCAAGCTGAGGCAGTTGAGGGGTTGGTTTGGTGCCTGGGTAAGTAAACATTTTATTGTAGCCTCAGGAGTAGTTATGATGTGTTAAATTAATAAGATTTTTCAACATTATGCCCCTGGAGGGAAGCCTCTTTCAGTTCTAGGATGTTCTTTCAGGACATTTTCATGTTCCTTTGACTGTATTGACTGCTCTACCTTCCCTTCATTCCTCAAGTTTCTCCCAAATATCCCCACACTGGCTCCCACATTTGCTCAGCTCTTTTGGGGGCTGCACAGGGTTCCCATAGGTTCAACTTCTGTCTTTAGGACAGCTCCAACAGATGCCAAGGCCACTTTCCTGCTCCTGCACTCACAGTGCCCAGTCTGTCTGGGTTCTGTGGTCCCTATAGAAGGCCTTTTGGCCCATAAGAAGGACTCAATAATTATGCTAAGGATGAGCAAGTGTTAGCAGTCCTACAGTGTCACCACAGAGAGAGGCCAGGTAAGTTCAGATGGCCTGACTGTTCTCTCCTTCTCTGGCAGGGATAGAGATCCCTTTGATTGGTCAGTCCAGTTTGGTGAGCTGACTGCCAGGCCGTCTCTCTGGAACCTAAAGGCCTATTCCAACCGTTACCAAATAGAAGATATCTTTCTGAGTCCCAAGTATGTGGAGTCCTATCCCCATGACATCGCCCTGCTGAAGCTGTCATCTCCTGTCAACTACAACACTTATATCCAGCCCATATGCCTCCTGAACTCCACATTCAAGTTTGAGAACAGAACTGACTGCTGGGTGACCGGCTGGGGGGATATTGGAGAAGATGAAAGTGAGGCTGGGTACAGATTGGCTTGGGAGGGGCCCTGCCCTGTTCTTCCACACAAACCCTAGCATTTCTTCCCTGGACTCTGTAGCTCCAGTGAACCCCCTTTCCCCATCACTCAGCATTCTCTCATCTAGCTCTTAACTTCTGCTTGCGAGGACAGGAGGCAGCCCCTTCCTTCCAGACAGGGTGCAGGCTGGAACTCAGAGGTGCCAGGAGGCCAGCAGGGGCAGGATCCCATAGGGCCTACAGGATGGCTCCCACATCATTATATTTATGGTCTTTCCACATCTGCAGCAACCCCTATCAGTGAGTGACAGTAAACATGATTCTCCATGCCTGTTCCACCCACCCCAATTCTGACTGTGCACTCTCCTCACAATTCCCAGGCCATTTTCCTCCACTCTTGACTTGCCACTGAAATCCCTTTGGAGGTCCTGAGGTCATAATCAGACACCTGCCTGCAGTTCAACAGGAACCCGCCGCCAGAAGCACTGATCATAGTTTCCTCCTAACTGCCCTGGTGCCTACAGCCCCATAGCCTGGGCATGCCCTTTGTGCTGGAGTGACCCTGCTCAATGCTCCCTGAGCTGGCCCATTTCTGCAATATCCTCTAATAAGAGTAGTAGTAATAGATTCGGCACCTTTCCTTCATGTCATGTGCTTGGCACTGTTGCAGACTTGGGCACCCTGGTGCATGAAGGTGACGGTGTAATTAAAAAAGATTCATTGTATTATTTTTTTATGTGTATGAGTATTTTGCCTCCATGTTTATGTCTCAGATCCTCTGGAGCAGGAGTTACAGGTATTTCTGAGCCTCTCAGCAGTGATGGAGTTCCCACTTCAGTCCTCAGGATTGGGAAAGTGCTCCCAACCACTGAGCTACCTTTAGACCACTTCAGCCCCCTTTAAAGGGATTACATCTATTTATTTTGCTTTTAAAAACATTTATTAAAAATAAAAGGGGACACACGCATTTAACCCCAGCCTTCAGGAGGTAGAAGCAGGTGGATCTCTGTAAGTTTGAGGCCAGCCTGATCCACAAAGTGAGTTCTAGGACAGCCAGGGTTACAAAGAAAAATCTTGTCTGGAAAAACAAAACATTTATTTTATGTGTTAAGTGTTTGTATGCTTGAGTGTATGTATGTATACCACATACACACAATACCTGCAGAGGTCAGAAGAGGGCTTCTGCTCCATAGAAACTGGAGTTATAGGTGTTTGTGAGCTACCTGTGGGTGCTGGGAACTGAACCCAAGTCCTCTGCAAGAGCTGTAAGTGCTCTTAACAGCCGAGCCTTTTCTCCAGCTCTAGTTATTTTGTGTGCAGTTCGGGGAGTACAAGTTCTTGCAGTGGCTCATGTGTGAAAGTCAGAGGGTAACTTTTGAGAGATGCCCTCGCCTTTTACAGTGTGGATCTTGGGGATCAAAATCAGACTTGATGGCGAGGGCTTTACTCATTGAACATCTCACCTGTGCAACTGTATTTTTGTTATTGTTGTTGTTTTGTTTTGTTTTTCAAGACAGGGTTTCTCTGTAGCTTTGGAGCCTGTCCTGGAACTCATTCTTGTAGACCAGGCTGGTCTCAAACTCACAGAGATCCACCTGCCTCTGCCTCCCCAGTGCCGGGACTAAAGGTGTGTGCCACCCCTGCCCGGCACAACAGTATATTTTTATGTCCAGTTTATAGTCGAGGTAATTGAGAGTATTATGGCAAGTGTCCTAAGGCCCCAGAACTAGTAAAAGGAAGTGAGCATAAGGGATGTCCCCAAAGCCATGTATCTGGAATCAGCAGGGAGAATAGAGAACTCAATGCTCGATCTGCATGTTAGATAGGAGTCCATTTTCTTCTCCTAGAGGAGTGGTTGTGAGCCCACTTTGCTGCCCTCTTCCCTATGCAGAGCAGATGGCCGTGGTGGTGGGCAGCAGGGTGTGTGTTTGTCTCCTCGAGCCTTGGCTTCACTCTTATTCTTAGTGCACATGAGGTAGGTAGCAGACACTTCTGCTGGGAATATAGCTCTGTTCACCCTAGAACCGGGGGAGCTGTTTCTTTGCTATGTGCTAGCTGGGACACTTTGAACAAGACACTTGGTTGAAACTCAGTTTCCCCTTCTGTTGAATAGAATAATGAAAGCTCTGGCTTCTTAGAGATGCCTGAGATCTGATCTTAACGAGCTCTCAGCAGACAGGAGACACCCTCTGTGGCTCTTGTCATCTTTGTCATCCTTGCAGTCAGACAGTGCTTGGAGCTTAGACTCAGGGATCCAACAGATGCTCTGACAGTTCCCGAGTGCATTGTGGTAATAGGGCTCTTCCCCAGAACCCTTTTAAATTAATGTATCCTGCTTCTGTTGTATTCAAGAGGTGTTTGGGGCTTCTTGGCTCAGGCCTAAGGAAAGCCCAGAAGGAAAGGGCGTCATAGAGCTGCTACCCCTGGTCCATCCAGTCCCTGGGTTCCTCTCAGGACTTGGCCTACTCAGGCAGGACCTCATGTACATTCTACAGCCAGTCTTGGGGTGGCATTGATAGTGATCCCATCTACTGAGTCCTGTGATGTTGTTGAGTATCCGTGATGCTAGTGTGAGGCTTGCAACTAGGGACCATTGATATAGCCTCTGTCTCCACACCCTATGCCATTCCTTCCAGGAGAAGAGATGTATCTCTCTCTCTTCCATCCCCTGCACAGGTCTGCCATCTCCCTACACTCTCCAGGAAGTGCAAGTAGCTATCATCAACAACAGCATGTGCAACCACTTGTACAAGCAGTCAGACTTCCGGGTGAACATCTGGGGAGACATGGTCTGTGCTGGCAACCCTGCTGGCGGCAAGGACGCCTGCTTTGTAAGTGTCTTCTGGGCCCAGTACCCTGCCAATCCTAGCTCCAACCTCCATCTAACTGAGGTTTCACATGGTACCTCATTCAGTCTTAGGCCAACCCTGGGAGATAAGATTGTGATTCCATTTTGCAGATGAAGAAGTTGAGGCTCCACTGCTGTCAGGGCAAGGAGTTGAATGCTTTTCCAGTCTGCCAGCTCCACAGCAACCCCTTCTCCCCTGACCTCCCTCCTAGCCCCACCTGTCACCCTCCAGGCCAGGCTTACCTATGCTGCCCCTCAGGGTGACTCAGGAGGACCCTTGGTCTGCGACCAGGATACGGTGTGGTATCAGGTTGGAGTCGTGAGCTGGGGAATAGGCTGTGGTCGACCTAATCGGCCTGGAGTCTATACCAACATCAGTCATCACTACAACTGGATCCGGTCGACCATGATCAGAAATGGGATGCTGAGGCCTGACCCAGCCCCTCTACTGCTGTTCCTCACTCTGGCCTGGGCTCCCTTGATCCTGGGGCCTGCCTGAGCCCACCTGTGAAAACAAGGTCATCTGTGGGATTGGGGAGTGTTTCTTTTGTATCATGTTTGCTAATAAACATGCTAATATTTTCATAGCTTTCCTGGAACTTGGTTGACTTCCTGAACAGGTACCTCCTTTCTCTCAGTCCAAGACTTGTATCTAACCCCTGAAATCTTGACCCATCCTCATCAATCAAATTTTGGTTGTAAACTGTAGCATCCATTTAGTGTAATTACAAAAACCACAATTTGTGACTAGGTGGCACCCACTTGTAACTCCAGAACATGGGAGGTGGAGGCAGGAGGATCATGAATCTTCCACAAAGACCAGCACCCAGGAGAGTGAGTCCAGCATGGTTGAGGCCCTAACAGCAACCCAGTACACCCATTGGGAGCTCTGCTTCTTCTTGAGCCTCTCTGTTTTCTTTTTGAGATACACTCTGGAGTTCTCTGGTCCCCTCTCCTTCCTGGGATCAGAGCATAGTGTGCCTGGCACTGCACCAACCATAGGACACACCCCTAGGCTCCCCAGAAGCTGTTCTGATCACACCCCACAGCACTGGAACTGAGGCTCTGGGGTAAAGGATGTGATCAAGCCCACAGGGGCAAAGCCGGGGAATTCCACCTTCTGTTCCGTTGCAGTGTTCAAGGCCCCCAGGAGATGGAAGGGAGAGGAAAAGACGGACATAAACAGGAGTCTTCAGGGTATTTTAGGAGGTGTCCTGACTAGGCAAACCTCACTCTGCCCATCAACTATTCATGTTTCCACCAAGGCTTGGTGAGGAAAAGCCTAAGTCCCTGCTGTGTGACCGGATGGAGTAGGTACTTGCATGTCCCTCCCTGTCCACAAGAGGGTAGTCGTGGGCCTAGTTCGCCTGCTCAGAGGCAGGAGGAGAGAGGGCTTGCCAACACTGACTCCTGTGGTGTTTCTGCTACCTCATGCATTCCTGTTCTGTTGTTTACCTTCCACTTAGTCTCTGGGCTAAGAGCTTGCAAGGGAGCATTATTCCTGAGGGCTTTTTGCCTTTAGTTCTTTACAGCCTCTAGTTAATTTCTGGAAAAGCTGACGAGGGGACAGGGGCTATCTAAATGGAAAAGAGGCAGATGGTGGCTCAAGGGAATGTGCCAAAGACAAAAGGCTGTTCATAGCTACTAAGTGAGCCCTATGTGTGTGGGCAGAGGCCAATGACATATGTTGAAACGCTGAGAAGGGCAGCCACCAAGAAGTAGCCTTCCTTCCTTCCTTCCTTTCTTAAAGAAAGAAAGAAAGATTTACTTATTATGTATACAGTGTTTGCATGCATGTGTGCCTATGGCTGTGAGCCACTATGTGGTTGCTGGGAATTGAACTCAGGATCTCTAGAAGAGCAGTCAGTACTCTAAACCTCTGAGTCATCTCTCCAGCCCCAAGAAGTAGATTTTTTAACTAGAGGAGTCTGTGGGAAGCAGAGAGCTAGAGCCAAGGGCTGGGGCTGAGAGCATGGGCCCCACAGTGGAGAAAATGGTGGCCTGGACAAGGGCAGATGCCTGAGGGAGCCTCAGCTGATATGAGTGTTGGTGATGAATTGGGGGGCGGGCTAATTAGATACATCAACTAGAACGGGGCTTTGCAACTATTTTTTTTTTAAGAGAACCATTTATTCTTTTAATTTTAATTATGTGTATGCATGTGTGTCTGTGTGGGGGTATGTACATAGGAGGACACTTGCAAACAGAGGCCAGAAGAGGGTGTTGGATCTCCAGGGCCCAGAGTTACAGGCAATTGAAGGTACTTCCATTTGATGTAAGTGCTGGGTACTGACTTTGCTGGCTGGAAGAGCAACAGTGCTTGCTCTTAACCACTGAGCCACCTCTCCAGTCCTTCATTGGGGAAATTTTTATGGGACTCAGTGTATGCGATGTACAAATTTACTAATAATAGATCTCAAAGAACTTTCTTTTAAAACAATTCTTTGATGGCATTAATCTCATATGAGAAAGACATTTAAGGTAGCCTCTCCACTGTTGCTTAGATTCTTAGTTGGGGTCATCCTTGTGGATTCCTGGGAATTTCCTTAGTGCCAGGTTTCTTGCTAACCTCATAATGGCTCCCTCTATCAAGGTATCTTTTTCCTTGCTCTCCTTCTTGGGGTCCTTCCCCAACTCGACCTTCCTGATCCCTCATGTTCTCCTCTATGGGGCCACTGGCAGTGGTACCAGTATTTATCCCTAGCACATGAACTGGCTTTTTGTAGACCATTTCCTATGGAGAAATATCTTGCTCAGCTTAGATACTGGGGGGAGGGTCCTGCCCCAAATGATGTGACAAACTTTGATGATTCCTCCATGAGAGTGGATCGGGGGTGGGATGGGAAGATGGTGAGGGGATTGGAGGATGGGATGGAGAGGGAATGGGGCTGATATGTAAAATAAGATTGTTTTCGATTTAAATAAATATAAAACAATTTTTTGGCATATGAAATATTCAAAAACATGTATTCATGTGTATACGTATGTGTATGTGTGCAAGTTCCAGAGGAGGTCAGGAGGGCGTGTGAAACCCCCACAGCTAGTCACTGATGTGGGTGCTGGGGACCTAATTCAATCCTCTGAGAAGCATCAAGAATTCTCAACCATTGAGCCATCTCTCCACCCCCTTTAACCACTCTTCCTGAATGCAAATCTATGTGGTAATGAGATGCTTATTTGTCTACAATCCAAAGAAATAGCAATTTGATATTTAACATGCTGAAGAGTGACATAGGAAAAATTAAGTCTTTGTTTGCTGTAATGAAGCTATTATGTTTCCATAAGAGCAGAAAACATTGCAATTAATACACATAATACTCTCGAATCTGAGCCAAGACACTTCAGGCAGCTTTGGCCCTGTGTAGTACTGTGACATATGCAGGACATAATGTTCATTATGTGTTTGGAACCAAGGCTGCCACGAAGTCCCAGGACTCAAGATGGACAAGTCCCACCAGAAACTCCTCAGATTCTTCATGAATTTGATTTTTTTTAGTCATCACACCTTCAGAAATTGTTTACTGTTACTACCCCAGATTCTTAAATTCAGTTATGTAACAGTTCAACAAGTTTTGAGCTAGATGTTTGAATGCATCCCTCTGCTTCCCAGTGGCCCCTGAGCGGTCCCAGGCAGTTCAGGTGTGAGTCTAGCAACTTTTCCTGAGGATTAGAGACCCAGTGGGTTGTACAGTTGGGTTTGGTGAAAACCAACAAGAAGGAAAACGCCAGAACCCAAAAGCATGTTCACAGCCCAGCACCTTCTCCTTCCTAGCTCCTGAGGCAGTGTCCTTGTGACTCCTCTTGTCTTATCCTCAGCTGGGTTTCAACACTAAGTACCCAGAGAGCAGGGGCACACCCTTCCACACTCAAGGCTGGAGGTGGGCCGGTCCTGCCTCTCGTGAGCCAGCTCTGATCCAAATGTGCTCTTCCATTTGGTATTTTGAAGTGGACAGAGGACAACCTGCAGGACTCAGTTCTTTCCTTTCATCATGTGGGTCCCAGGGATCAAATTCAGGTTGGCAGCTTGGTGACAAGTACTGCTACCCACTAAGCCGTCTCACCAACCCACAGGTGATGATGACGTAATAGTTTTGATTGGTACCTTGGTTTTCTAGTAAAGTCCTGAGTTTTCTGGGTTAGAGTGTAGCAAAAATGTGTTACACAGAGAGGCACCTGGCAGGGACTTTGGTGAAGGTTTCTGGTATTTCAGTCAGTAGAGACAAGTCATCCCCCAGGCCTGGTTGCTTCTCAGGGTCTTTCTCTGGCAGCATAGACTCAGGTCCTTGTACAAGGATAGCCCCTTTTCCTCCCTGTACAGATAGGCCACCTGGCTTCTGATCCTTCTTCCACTCCCATCAGTCTCCTCTGGTTCCTGTGGGGATAACATGAAAGAGCCAACTTCCTCCTTGGCCCCAGAAATGACACTCTGGCCAGAATAGCCCAAAACCAGAGCCAGGGACCCAGGATCAAGCCTCCAAGTGAGGACAAAAGCTTTCTGTAAGTGACCAGCATGGGGGATGCGGCTCTGAGTGGGCTGCAGATAGAGACCCATTCATCCAGACTGTCCAGGGCAGTCCTTCTGAGCCCTGTATCAGGAGAGTTGGGAGACCAGAGCCAGGCATTATAACCACCACTTGCCATACAAGGATTCAGCAGCCCAGGGCCCACCTCTGCCGGAGGAGAAGGTCTCATTGTTCCAGTCCCTGGCACAATGCAGACTGGGCTGTGCCCAGGGCAGGTGATAAATACCCAGTAAATCCCCTTTTGGGGGTTCCTGATCCTGAGGGACAAAAGGCCTGTGTTGAACATTCCTTAGTGTAGGCTCAGGGCCAGCTCTGTAGCTGAGGGGTACAAAGAAGGACTCTTTTGGGATTGGGCCCACTACTAGTGTATGTGAGGACTGTACCTGTTCATGTGGGCGTAGCTTGGTGACTGTGTATTTTCATGTGCAGGAGTGTGACATGGTATAGTGTGATAGCCATTACCACATACCAACAATATGAAAATGTTCCTTACTTGTTCAACTGGGCAAGTCCCACAATTCCCTCTGGCCAGTCTAGCCACTGTCTGTTCCTCTCACCCCCACCCCCTCTACTCAAGGGGCACTTCCTTGAATCTCAGCCAGGTAGACCCTCCTTTTGGCACTTGAAGTGACAGCAAACCCACAACAGTGTCCTTGGGCCAGGCTGGAACAGAACACAAGCCCCCTTTGTGTTCCCTTTCAGGCCCCTGGCTCCAAGAGCTTGTCTGCTAAGAGCTTAGGCCCTTCCGCCTCCACCTCCCCAAAGATCTCCTGGGCCATCAGGAGGGGATCTGCTGCCCTGTCCCCAGCCAAGCCTCTACTGTGTCTGCAGAGTAGAGGTGTAAGGAGGGTTGGGAGGGTGAGGAAGTGGGTGCTCACCTCTGCATCAATGGAGCTCGAGCCTCTGTGAGCCTCCCTAGGGAGGTGATGCTGTTCTCAAACCAAGCACAGGTATGGGGTAGGAGAGCTCTTCCTAGTCCCCACCAAAGATGACTGAACAGAGCCCCTAACCCTCTACTTTGCCCAGCCTGCCAGGGACAGGGCTATAATTGCTCCATGGTAAGGAGTGGTATATACAGAGTCAGATGGCTGTGTGAAGGAGGCCATAAGCAGTTACAGACAACTGATATGTGCCCTGACTCTTGACCTTGGGGATAAGGAAAGCATCAGGATTATAGACATCTTTCTTTTTCTTTTTATGGCAAGTGTGGTAGTGCACATGTTAGAAAAATCCCAGTACTGGGGAGGCAGAGGCAGACAGATCTCTGTGACTGAGGGCAGCCTAGTCTATAGAGTGAGTTCTGGGCCAACCAGGGCTACATAGTAAGACCCTGTCTTCAAAAAAGGAAAGATATAGTTTATGTGTACCTGTCTGTGTCCACTTGGGGGGGTGGCTATATTCATGTGGCTATAGGTGTTCTTGGAGGCCCAATGAAAGCATCCAGTCCCCTGGAGCTAGAGTCGTAAGTAGTGTGAGCCACCTGAGGTGGGTGCTGGGAACAGAATTCAGGTCCTCTGGAAGAGCAGTCCATGTTTTTTTGTTTTTTTGTTTTTTCTTGAGACAGGGTTTCTCTGTGTAGCTCTGGCTGTCCTGGAACTCACACGGTAGACCAGGCTGGCCTCGAACTCACAGAGATCCAACCTGCCTCTGCTTCCCAAGTGCTGGGATTAAAGGTGTGCACCACCACCGCCCGACTTTAGTCCATGTTCTTAACCACTGAACCATCATTCCAACCCTGAAAATTTTCATGAGTCACAAAATATTTTCCTATTTTCTGAAACTTTCCCAAGGACCACAACACATGAAAAGCATTCTTATCTCAGAAACACATGACAGGGTTCTTTGGCCTTTGACTCTCTAGTTTCCCCACCCCTGTGTAGGCATTGTTGGCTCCTAGTTCAGGCAGCAGAGTCCCTGCTAGTGCTGCAGCCCATCCCTCATTATCATCCTATGAGAACAGTGTCCCTAGTGCCTGGAAAGAGACAGTCTAGCTACAAATAAGGCTGTTCTTTGCATCCCTTTCTAAGCACAGGAGGGTCTCAACAGGAATCAGGTGCAGACTCACAGTAAAGGACAGGAACAAGGCAGGTGGCGAGTGGGCAGACTCATTCGAAACTGGCCACCTAGAGGTAGGGAAGCCGGTGGTGGATTTGTGAGCTGGGTGCAACAGCAACGTTCAGAGGCGCAGACAGATGGGATAGGCCTTGCTGCATTCAGAGTCCCACAGAGACTCAAGACAGCAAGTCTCACGTGTAAGTAAGCCACAGAAAATATCAGTGTCATGACTGGTTGGCTGTGGAATGAAAAAGAAGGAATGAGGACAGAGAATTGTCACCACAGGACACAGTTCTCTGTTTTGATGAGTCTTATTCATGATTTTCCAATTAATAAAGTTTTTTTTTTTCTTCAAAACTCTGAAAAAAAAGTCACTAAGAGAATGATGTAAGCCATGAAAAGGCATCATTGATCACAATGGGAATAACTCAGAAATCTGTGGACAGAGTCACAAGTCAAGAGAAGATTGACTTGTTCTCAATCTGTTCACCAAGGCGACGGAAGCAGCATAGGGAGGAAGGGAGGACAGTGCTCCTTTCTCTGACCCCTCAGTGCCCCAGAGGTGGGAGCCACCATGGTATTGACTTTCCATCACCCCACAGACACTTATCTGTCGTTCCTAGAACTTTTCGACTGACCTTGACTTACACGGCATAGCACCTGTACTCCGGTGGAAAAATCTGTGTGGATTGCCACAGCAACACTGATCAAAGTAGAACACAGACCAAGGCTCATCCACTACATTCCTCCTGAGTAAGAAGCTGGGCTTTGCATTAGTGTGGCTTCCATACCCTTCAGCAATCATGGCATTGTGGTATTTCCAGAGACCCTGCAGATACCCTTCCTTAAGATGCTCTCTGCTTCAAATAGGGTTTGAAATAGCCTTTATTTCCTCCATCACTATCCTATACCCTCCCATCTCTCCACACCATTCAAATGCAGTTTTTTTCAGTACCTGAGGTGAAGTCTAGGAATGATGGTATGGAATCATAGGTCTTCCTTCAAGAAGGGGCTGATGGAGGGTAGACAAAGGGAAATACAGCAAGCTACCCAAATCTAAGCCCTGGAGAGGAAAATCACCACAAGGATAAAGAAGGGACTCTTGGAACTTGAGGAAATGACAGGGAGATGGATCAGTTAGTAAAGTGTTTGCCATCAAGCAGAAGGATCTGAGCTTGATCCCCAGAACCCACAAAAAGTTGGGTGTAGCACCACATGGTTGTAATATCAGTACAGGGAAAGTGGGGGAGAAAGGAGGAGCCCAGAAACCTGTTGAAAAGAAGGTCTAACTGAGTCAGTAAGCTCAGGTTTACATAGAGATGGTCTCAAAAACAGGAATAAAGACCTGCAGAGGTGGCTCAGTAGCTACGAACACCAGCTATTCAGGATTCCCAGAACTAATAGAATTCAAGTACAGAGGATCTGATGCCTTCAAAAGGTCTCCAAGGGCACCAACCATAAAATTAGTGCATAGATATATATGTAGTCAAGTCCCCCACACGTATGACATTTTAATATTAAAAATAGGAAAAATTCAGGCCTGTAAGTTAGCAATTGGGAGGTAGAGATAGACCTCATTGAAACTGAGGTAAACCTAGTTAATCTATGTAGTGAGTTCCAGGATAGCCAGGATTATACCAAAACTCTGTGATAAAATAAATAAAAGATGAGGAGGAGGAAAAAAGGAGGAGGAAAGGGATGAGGAGGAGGGGAAAATAAGAAGACACCTGATGTCCACTGCCACGTGCAGACATTCATGCACTCCCCCGCCACATGCACACACGAGTAACACACAGAGGAAAAGCCCATTATAAGCACAGTGGGGGAGCACTTGCAAAATGTATTGGTAGTCAAGTTCAATCCTGCTCAGTAACACACACACACACACACACACACACACACACACACACACACACACACACACACACAGTCAGCCTGGTCCCAGGGATACCACCTGGGTTGGACCTCACCCTCCCTGTACTCTCTGGCTTTAATCATGACTGCTCTCATGTCTTTTGGGTCTTTGTATGTTCAAGGCCTCCCAGGCTCACCACCTGTTCATCCTTATTAGCCCTAAATCCAGCATACGAGGGAGGTCACCACGGATACCTGATGAGTGGACAAGAACCACTGAACAAGCACAGAGCAGGGGACCGAGACTGCTGTCCCTGGCTCTCTGAGTTCTGCAGGGAGTTTGTAGGGGCTCAGGGGAGTCCTCCAGACAGGGGGCTGCCTAGGCTTATGGAAGCCAGGGCCTGCTCGTGGACTTTCTGAGACCAGTTGTTCTGTGGCCATAGCTGGTTGAAACCTGCCTGGCAGAGCTGGGGCGGGGCTCTCTGCAAACCTCGCATTGCTCCTGTCAGGGGCTGACCAGGCGCTCATGAGACAGAACCCAGAGGTGACAATAGACACAAATGCTGTCACTGTCACCAGCCCTGTTGTTGTAAGTGGCTGTGCCAAGTCTGCAAACACAGTGTGTCCGGGAGCCTCCCCAGGTGGCTTTGAAAACTCCCCAGGAAGAGCCCCCCACCAACCCACTCCTTCCTGTCCCTCTGGTGGCCCATGGCTCCTTCCTTCTGGACAGGGGCCCAAGAGACTCCAGAGCATATAAGGGAAGGGGAAGGAGGTCCAGGCACAAGATACCCAGGGCGAATTCTCCCAGCCAGGTAAGGTGCATGGCTCCCGGGGGTGGGCATCATGGCGAAGCCCAGCTGGTTCTCCAGTTAGGCCTTAGGTGTCTTTGCCCTTTCCCTGAGACTTTCAGATGTCCCAGCCTCAGGCCATGCTGCTCTTGCTGATCCTTGCTGTCCTGGGGACGCCCGCCTTTTGTTCAGAAAGTAAGTCAACCCTGGAGTGGGCCCCCTCACCGGTGGCCACGTCATCTCCCTCAACCTAGGAGACATGGGGACACCTCCCAGCCTTTGCCACAGACTAAACGTGGTCATAGGCCAATCCTTCCTGGCTTCCCGGGTGGGAAGACAGGCCCTCCACATGTCTGAGTGGGTTTTCTCCTCTCTGGGCTTTCATCCACACAGATTACTATGGCAGGACAACCGGCACACATTTCTGCACTTCCATACCCGAGGGAAAAAACTTAACAGGAATTCGGATGTATGTTCGCAATAACATCATTATGGGGTAAGTATGATCAGACTCATGCATGGCCCCTCACCCTGTGTCCTGCCTGGATTCTTCCCACATTTCAGAACCCCACCTATGAGTACATGGTCCACTGATTGTGTCTTCCTTCCCACAGATCCCATCTGGTTTCTAGTGGCTCCTCAAAGTCATTTGCTTTTCAGAGTCACAGAGCCACAAGCCAAACCTTTTGTCTTGTAGCTGTCCACAGTCATTACCTCTCCGGAGCATAGTCCTGCTTTTACTGGGTCCATAGTACAGTCCTACTTTTGCATCTCGGGTTGATCAGAGAAGGTGGAGATGCTGCTCCCTACTCAACTCAACTACAAAAGGCCCCTGAATCCCTACTCTTGATAGCAAAATCTCACCTGCCAGGGTTGTCTAGGAGGTGAGGGTTAGAGGGTTAGAGGGTTAGAGGTGACTGAATGTTAGTGGTAAGCAACGTTGGAAGCAGAAATCCAAAGTCAGGCCTTTCATATTGGGGGCAACCCTGCTTGAGCCTGAGAGGATTTCTGCTTTGTAGTGAGAGGATGTCAGACACATAGGAAATGGAGAGGGGAAGAGTCAGGGAAATAGAAGACAGCGTGTGAACTGAGCTGCGAAAGCTCTGGAATGCCGCCAAAGACTAGGATGCTGAAGAAGTCAGTGTGTGGGGCTGGTGAAGTCCCTTAGGGGCACGGAAGACACCTGTTTTTCTGTGATCTGCTGCTTTCTTAGAAGTGACCTAGGTTGAGAAAGTCCCAGCTTGGCCAGGGTCAGCCCTGCTGTAAACGGAGCTGTCCCCTATGAAGGTCTGATGTGCAGACTGCTCTGCTTGGCCTGTCTACTGTGACTATGATGAAGCGAGTCCCCAATAGGCTGAGTAAGGGCCTTCAGCTCACAGTATCTGTGATTGGCTTCCCCAGAGTGAGAGGGAGGCTAGTGTGTCTCAAGAAGCCAAAAGAGAGGGAGGCGGAGGGGCACCTGGGTCCATGGAAGGAGGGCAATGCTGTGTCTGGATGGGTATTTAAAGGGTGTCCTCTTCCCTAGTGTCCAGATGAAGCATGGAGACCAATGGGGTTCACTGTATGGCTATTCAGATGGGAGTCTGGAGGAACTGGAACTGAATGATGGTGAAGATATCATGTCACTATATGGCTCATACAACTCCTACATGCGGCAAATAGTCCTTTATACTACCAGGCCACGAGATAAGATTTTTGGGACTGCCAAAGCTAATAATGAGTTCACCGACTACCCTCAAGATCCCTCCCATGTGCTTCTGGGCTTCTGTGGCTATTACGTGAGGGGTGGCTTTAAGGCCATCAGTGCTAAGTGGGGGAGTCCAGGTGGTAAATGTACAGAGTGAGGCTCATGGCCACCCCAGCTGAAGCGCTCTGTGTCAGGTCACCCCACTGGGCCTTGGAAACCATGCCCACTAATAAATAGTATATCTGCATGAACTCTGTGTCCAAGTGGGATTCTTGGGTCTGAGAAGGCTCCCTCTGTGAACTGAAATGACGGTGGGTAGAAATAGGCGAGGCAAGTATTTGGGGGCTGCACACAGTGACCCTAGGCTATAATCTCCAAGGGTCAGCTCAGAGAGCACCACTGCAGACTGCGGTGTATGTGTACACACTCAGTTGTCCTGTGCTGGCCCTGCATTGTTCCAGACTTCTCTGCTTCTGCAACACACCTCAGGGTTGCCACTAACCATTTGCCAACGGCTTGTACTCACCAGGCTCTTCTTTGCCCTAAGGGACACAAAGAAGGGGGGCCTGGAGGATTTGGGGAGATGGCTCTGTGGCTATAGTGCTGGCTGTGCAAAAATGAAAACTGAATTTGGGCCCCCAGCACCTACCCAGAAGTAACCCCAGCACTAGGAGAAGCGGGGAAGAGTGGAGAAGGAGACAGGCTGCTCCTCACAGCTCACTGGCTGGCTGGTGCAGGCCAATCTGTAGGCTCTAGCTACAGTGAAGATGCTGGTTCACAAAACAAGGCGGAGAGTACTGGAGGAAGACACTCAAGGTCAATCTCTGGCCTCCACGTGCATGCACACATATAAGTGTGTGCATTCCCTCACACTAGTAGGTTCACACACATCTATATCACATGCACAGCACACAGAAGCTCATGGTGACTTGGCGGTCCCTGCATTACCAGGTGTGTGGACAGGTGATGTGGAGACAGAGCACCTGCCAGAGGGGTGGCAGGCTGAGAGAGCCTCAGAGACTCTTCCTGGAGGCAGTGGGATCTGAGCTGCATCCTCAGAGCAGTGGGGGAATCAGCCAAGTGGATACAGGGAGGAGGGAGGTCCAGGCCAGAGAGCCCTGAGGGCAGGCCTCTACCTGCACCTCTCCTAGTGCCTGATTGAGGAAGACTTGTCTGGGTGCAGTGCACACTCCTTTAATCCCTGAACTTGGGAGGCAGAGGCAGAGGCAGAGGCAGAGGCAGAGGCAGAGGCAGAGGCAGAGGCAGAGGCAGAGGCAGAGGCAGAGGCAGAAGCTAGAGGATCTCTGTGAGTTGGAGTCAGCCTGGGATACAGAGTGAGTTTCAGGACTACAGAGAGAGACAGTGCACCCTCATGAAGAAACTGAGCACCCAGGGCAAGGGAATTTGTCCTAAGTCACTCGGCAGAATCAGCTGTAAGGAGGTCCATCTGAGAAATCTGAACTCTGACCCCAATCTGTGGCAAAGCTTTCACAAGTAGGTTGGAGGTTCAGCTCATTTTGTAGGGAGCCATCCTGGCTTATATGAAGCTTGGGTTCTATTTCTAAAACATTTAAAAGTGGGGTGATGGTTTTTTCATGTGATTCCACTTTCTAATCCCTTGCTTAGTGAGCTTGTAGGGGCAGGAGGCTCAGGGAGTCCTGAGGCCCCTTTGATGACAAGTAACACACAGGTTTCATGAGGGCAGAAACTGTATTCAACAAAGGCATTCAGAGCCCCATCAGCCTTGCCTAGGTCAATACAGGGCCATCTTTGTCTGGGCCCTGCCAGGTGAGTGCTGCTGGTCACAGGACTGGCTTTGAGCTGGAGCACTCCAGTGGGCCTAGCTGTGGTCACCTTCTGAGAAGCGGATCCCGGGCCAGTTCATGCCTTGACCATCAGCAGCTTCTGGCCAGGAGCTGAGCGTGCATATCGGCATTCTTCAGGATCTCCCGGAGTTGGGCACTTGGTCAGAGCTGGACATTCTGGGCAGGGGGTGGTGACTGTCCATCGCACTGGCCACTAGGCAGCCTGAACTCCAGCGTGCTGCCCTCAGGTCCTCGGGTGGGGGCGCTGCAATGTGCATGGATGCTGGAACTAGCTTCAACTAGATGCTGGGAAGAGGTGGAGCCAGCATGCTCCCATCCACAGATACAGTGCTAGTTCCTTCCTGAAGCCCTGCCTAGTCCTGGTGCATGGAGCAAAGTTATCAGAGATTCCTTTCTGTGCCTTGTCAGCCTGGCCAGGGACCAGTGGCTCCTCCCCTCCAGTATCTTTTGGGATTAGCTGCCTTCAGTCTGCTTCCTGAAGTCTGATTATTTATTTATTCAATTTTAAAGCCATGTTCATGTTCTAAGACTTGCCCTGAACAAGCTGTATAGCACAGGAGAACATGAATCCTCCTCCTTCTGCCTCCATCAAGCCTTTTTAATTCTCTCTCTCTCTCTCTCTCTCTCTGTTTGTGTGTGTGTGTGTGTGTGTGTGTATGTGTGTGTTTGTGTTTAGGGTATGTGAGCAGAGTCCATTAAAGACAACCAGTGTCCTATACAAGTAATAATAGCTTATTAATGGAATATCTTCCCTCATGTGAGTTGTGGCAAATGGCTAGAAGAGAAGAGGTTCCCAGGTCCCCTTTTAAGCAGAGTTAGGGGAATTTCAGGGAGGAGAGATTAGTTTGAGGGCTGATAGGTGTATGGCTCTAGTGGGTTGTCACCACCCAGTGGCAGGGTAGGGGGAGCTGTCTTTGGCTAGCCTGAGGCTGTGGTCCTCTGCTGAGCTAGCAGAAGGTTGTGCAGTGCCTGCTGATTGGTTGCCCTCTAGTTGTGGTTTTCCTGAACTGCTTGCTCAGCTCCTGCCACCTCCAGTAACCCAAACTAAAGCCTGGTTCCTGGCAGGGCTATTAGAAACCTGTTATAGCCTCTTGTGTGTTTGTGTGTGTTTAGGTTCAAGTACAGTGGGTGAGTGTGGATGTCAAAGAACAGTTTGCAGGAGTTTTTTTGTTTTTTTGTTCTTTTGTTCTTTTTCTATTTCTCCCATGCAGATCTCAGGGATCATGGTCTTTATGATCCTTGCAGGGGTCTTAATGTTTCACACACTGAGCTGTCTCTGCCAGCCCTTGGTGATGATGACGCTGATGATCTACAGTTCTCAAGGTTGGATCTAAGAATCCTTCTATTGTATTATATACCCATTCCTGTTTTGGTTTTTGTTTGTTTTTTTTTTTTTTTCAAAAAAAGAGAGACTTGTTTTTAATTTTTATGGATTAATAAATTTCTATTTAGGTCTGAGAGACAGTTTTCTCTGTAGCCCTGGCTGTCCTGGTACTAGCTATGTACAGGAGGCTGGCCTTGAGCTCACAGAGATCCTGCTGCCTCTGCCTCTGCAGCGCTGGGATTAAAGGTGAGCTCCATCATGTGATGGCTTAATCTTCGTTTTTACTTACATGAACCTTGGTTTTCTATAAGAGCAGCAAGTGCTCTGGAGTGCTGAGGCATCTTGTCGTGCCCCGCCCACACCACACTGTGCTTGTATTTACTCCCTTGGAACATGACCCTCAGGGCACCTTAGGAGAGGAACAGAGCCCAGGAGGCAGACACTGTGTAGACAGTCAAGATGCAGCCTGATCCAGGGTTTGACTGACATTTCTGTGAGTAGAGAGAAGTCCAGAGAAAGGGAGTGAACCACACAATTGTCCTGTGAGGGCAGACAGGGTCACGTCTCTGCTCATCAGAGCAATTCTGTCACCACCACAGGGCCCTCAGGTTTCCAGAACTACCCAGAGGAGGGCCCTCAGCCACTAGGGTCCTTCTGAACCGGAAGTCTCTCTCCTGAGGATGGGCCGCACCCTCACCCAAGCTGGGCATTCCAGCCCCGAGTGAGCTCTCCTCGGTCAGGGTGGGGAAGCAGAGGCCAACAAGGGAGAGCTAGGTACACTGGGGGGGGGGGTGAGTCCAGAGCGTTCCCTCAGGGCCCCAGGAGAGGAACACAACTGGGTGTGGTGTGAGAGGCCGGCGGCCAGGGTGCTTTCATCCCTGCACTGTGCTTGTGGTGTCCAGGAAGACTGGGAGTCTCTGCCCCCTTGCTGTTAACCTGTGTGTGGAAGAAGCAGGTGTCCGAATTCCCACCCTGAACCTGTGAGGAAGTAGAGCAGAGGGTGAGGCAACAGGGAGCCTCTCGGGAATTGGACTCTTGTGAAGCTGAGGCTGCACTCCAGGTGTGGAGACCCATCCTGGGCCCTGCAGGAGGCTCTGCTGAGGAGAATCAACGTGGACAACAGCAGTGCTGGCGACCAAGGGAGACATGTTTGTAATGGTCTTAGGAACCCCCAACCAAAAATTAATATTCACTGCTACTTCATAGTGTAATTTAGCTACCGAGAGGTATCTCGGTTCTGAAGACCATTGGCAAGATGTGTTTTCTGTTGGTCGGGACTTACAGGTTGAGAACTACCGGTCTAGAGGATTCAGAAGCCTCGGGGAGGTGGCAAGAATTCCTGGACTCTCTGGAGAAACAGCAGATGTAAAATTGAGGGTCACCAAAGGTGGCTTAAAGGAACATTGTGGAACCTTGTTTTCCCATAGGCTTTCATGGCTTCAGAAGGCTTGGTTTCCCCTGAATGATGTCACACGGACAGGGACTCAGACTCTGCAGCTGTGGTCACACTCCAGTGTCACAATGACCTTTTCTCAAAAAGCCCAAACAGTAACCAAAAAGGATCTTAATCTTTCTTTGTTGTTGTTGTATTTTTAGAAGGATCTCAGTGTCTCAGGCTGGCCTCAGACCTGCCGACATTCATTTGCCTCTTCCTGTTGTAGTGCTGGGGTCAGAGGCATGTTCCACAGGGCCTGGCCAGTTTAGGTGGTTTGGAAACAGGATCTCATGTAGCCCAGGCTGGACTTTAACTAGGGTGTAGCAGAAGTAGATGGCTTTGAACAAGGCTTTGTTCTATCATGTTCCAGTACTAGGACTCAGGGAGTCAGAAGTGATACCCAGTGTGAGAACTGGAATTTTTGTTTGTCTTTTCAAGACCAGGTTTCTCTGTGGCTGTGAAGGCTGTCCCGGAACCAGCTCTGTAGACCTGGCTGGTCTCAAACTCACAGAGATTCTCAAAACCCTGCCTCCTGAGTGCTGGGCCGCCAATGCCTGGTAAGAATTGTCATC